GCCTATGCCATGTGCATGAGAAGGGTGTGGTACTAGGGAATCACGGATAAGAAGCATGAAGGCAAGGACTCAAGTGGCTACTGTTGGTTACATATTACACTGGGTCAAAAAAAAATAACCGTTGCCATTAAGTTGATTCTGACTGCTGACAAACCCATGTGGATCAGAGTTGAACTGTGCTGCTTAGGAATTTCAATGGCTGAATTTTTAGAAGCTGATTATCAAGGCTTTTCTTCCAACGAGGCTTGGTAGACTTGAACCTCCAACCTTTGGGTTAACAGCCAATCTCTTAACTGCTTCCAGGGAGATTTTACTCTGAGTAGACGACGGTCTTTGATCACCAAAAGCAGGTGAGCCAGACACAATATTCAGCGATGTATAAGAGGCAGCTCATACAGGCTCAGTAGAAGCAATGGTTAAAATGTCAGGGATTTTGTGAGCAGGTTGTCAAACAAAAGCCATTTTTAAAGATTAAATTGTTTTAAAAACAAAGATAACCTAAAGATAAGCATTAAAACCATAAAAATCTTAGAGAAGAAAACAGGAAAATCTTCATGACCTTGGATTTAACAAAGAATTCTTAGATATAATACCAAAAGCATAATGAACAAAAGAAAAAATAATCTAATAAATTTGGATTTCATCAAAATGAAAAACTTTTGTGTATAAAGAATATTATCAAGAAAGTAAAAAGACAAACAACAAAATTGGAGAAAAAGAGCTGCAAATCGTATATCTGATAAGGGCCTCGTATCCAGAATATATAAAGCCCTCTTACAACTCAACAAAAAGACAATCCAATTTAAACATGGGCAAAGACTTTGAAGAGACACTTCTCCCAAGAAGCTATATAAATGGCCAATAAGCACACGAAAAGATGTTCAACATCATTAGTCATTGGGGAAAATACAAATCAAATCCATAATGAGATTCACAGGCCCTAGGATGGCTGTTGAGGATAAGCACTGGACTGGTAACCAGAAAGTCAGCAGTTCAAATCCACCAGTCTGCTCTTGGAAACCTGATCAGTCTGAGTTAGAACCAACTCACCAGCACACATGGTATTTTTGATAACCTCATATGCATGCAAAAGCTGGACAGTAAATAAGGAAGACCATAGAAGAATTGATGCTTTTAAGTTATGGTATTGGAGGAGAACATTGTGAAGTATGAGTATTCCGGAACACTTGATTGTACTCATGAGGATTCTGTTCCTGGACCAAGAAGCAGTTGTTTGAACAGAGCATGGGAACACTGAATGGTTTAAAATTAAGAAAGGTGTGTGAAAAGGTTATATTCTTTCACCGCACCTATTCAACCTGTATGCTGAACAAATAATCCGAGAATCTGGGTTCTATGAAGAAAAACATGGCATCAGGATTGGAGGAAGACTCATGAACAACCTGCGATATGCAGATGATACAACCTTGCTTGCTGAAAGCGAAGAGGATTGAAAACATTTACTGATGAAGATCAAAGAGCACAGCCTTCCGTATGGATTACATCTCAATGTAAAGAAAACAAAAATCCTCACCACTGGACCAATAAACAACAGTCTTATGAACGGAGAAAAGATTGAAGTTGTCAAGGACTTCATTCTTCTTGGATCAACTATCAACACTCATGGAAGCAGCAGTCAAGAGATCAGACGACGTATTGCATTAGGCAAATCTGCTGCACAAGAACTTTTTAAAGTGTTGAAGAGCAAAGATATCAGCTTAAGGACTAAGGTGCGCCTGACTCAAGCCATGGTATTTTCAATAACCTCGGATGCATGTGAAAGCTGGACAGTGAATAAGGAAGACCGTAGAAGAATAGATGCCTTTGAGTTATGGTGTTGGAGGAGTATTCTAAAAGTGCCATGGACTGCCAAAAGAACCAATAGATCTGTTTTGGAAGAAGTGCAGCCAGAGTGCTCCTTAGAGGTCAATATGGCCAAACTTTGTCTCTCATACTTCGGACATATTGTCAGGAGGGAACAGTCGCTGGAGAAGGATATCATGTTTGATAAGATGGAGGGTCAGTGAAAAAGAGGAAGACCCCCAACGAGATGGATTGGCCAGGTGGCAGCATTGATGGACTCAAGTGTGGCAACAGTAATGAGGTTGGCTCAGGATCGGACATTGTTTCGTTCTGCTGTGCATAAGGTCTCTATGAGTCGGTGCCGACTCAATGGCACCTAACAACAACAACAACATTGGAGGAGAATATTGAAGGTGCCATGGGCTGCCAAAAGAACAAACAGCTAATTTTTAAACTTCCTCATTTGCAGGGTCCTCTTTTGAGACCCGGTGACCAAATGTACTCCATTTTGTTTAGGTCAGTAGATCCATGCTATCACTGGCTCAATAGGCCCAGACAAGTCTGGTTCCACTGTCTGTACTCATTTGTGCATTTGTTGGTAAGCACTCGTGGTAACTCATCGGTCACCTCATAACCAAGAGGGACCGAGGCGGTATTCAGGGTATTGAGAGTGTTCCTCACACTACTTCTTCCTGATGCAGTGCCAGAGACTTGAAACCCTCCACACAGTTTGCCTACCTGCACAGAACTTGAAGACACAACTATTTTCATCAACACCACTTTACTACTCCCAGGAGAGTCTATGTAACCCAGGAAGATAAAAATGGTAAATAACTTTATTATTCACTCCTGGAACATCCTGAAAGACTTTGGAGATGGCACAGAGGACTTGGAAGGCTGGTGGGCAGGTCAGGAAAGAGGTGATAAAGGGTCACTGAGGGAAAGGTGAGCAGAGGCCCAGGATAAAGGCTGGGTAACAAACCACCCAGTATCAGAGGCTTAAACTAGTAAACCCCTATTTCTGGGCCACCTAGATGGTTTCTCTGGCCTTGGCTGGACTCCTTCAAGTACCAGTGGTCAGATGTGGGTCCAGGAGGCAGCTCCTCATCCAGGCTGGGCTCTCTCACAACCGCAGGGCTCAGCTGGATGCGGGCTAGTCTAGGATGGCCTTGGATGGGACTGCTATGCCGTACTCCATGTGGTCTCTCATGATCCAGCAGGAAGTCTCTAGGTTCTCCGCATAATGAAGGGAGATGCTCAGAGAGAAAGGAAACGTGCAGCACCTTCTGAGAACCTGCACACCACTGGTTCTTCTTAGTGCCCTGTGGAAATAGACCTAGATAAAAACAATTTGTTGTTGCTCATGTTGTTAAGTGCCTTTGAGTTAGTTCTGACTCATAGTGACTCTGTACAGGGTTTCTGAGGAGAGGCTGGTGGGTTTAAACTGATGATCTTGTGGTTGTCAGTCCAGTGCTTAAGCAAAAGTGCCACATCAAGATTCTTAAAATAAGAACAAATGTTGTTAAGTGCTATCGAGTAGGTTTCAACTCATAGTGATCCTGTCTAGGGTTTCTGAAGAGCTGCTGGTGAGTTTGAACCACCAACCTTATGATTCAAACCAAGTTTGTGGTCCTGTGCTTATCGAACAGTGCTACACCAGGGCTCCAAACTAACAGAGGTCATTTATTCAGAACCACCATTATTTGTGTTTGGCAGAGACTCAGAGGCAGGCAGGAGTGTGGGAAGGCTATAGGTAAGCCTCGATTACAGGCTATTTGCAAGGGGGAAATTGGAGAGGAATATTTTTGACTTATTCTGCTTCTTCTTAAATTGGAAGGTGGCGAATTTTTACGGAAGCTGTTAGGTGTTAAGCAAGCCCAGCTATTTTGAGTCCATTCTTACAGAAACTGTTTGGCTTCCTGGACTGTAGTTGTAGTGAGTGGTTTGATTTCCTGGGCTGGCAGCTGAAGATATTCAGTGAGTGAGCAAATAAGTATGTTGTTTTTAGGTGCTGTTGGGTCCGTTTCAGACTCATAGGGACCCTATGTACAACAGAACAAAACATTGTCTGGGCTTGTGCCATTCTTACAACTATTGATATGTCTGATTTATTGTTGTAGCCACTGTACCAACTGATTTTCTTGTAGGTCTTCCTCTTTTTCACTGACCCTCTATCTTACCAAGCATGATGTCCTTCTCCAGGAACTGGTTCCTCCAGTTAAACGTTTTAAGAATATGAGATGTAGTTTCTGGGGAAAGATGGTGGAGTATGCAAATACGCTGAGCAGACCCTCTGTAACAAGGACATGAGACACCAAATGAAACAAATACCAATGGCAACATTCAAACCCTGAGCTTCAGATAGGGCAAGAGAGGTTAATTGAGTGCTGAATGGAAAAAGAAGCTAAACAGGAGCAGCAAGAAACAAGAAAAATGAGTGGGCTGTTAGCTGGTATGAAGCAGTGTGGCAGTCGAGCTTTTGTGGCCGGATGTCCACACAGCAGCCTGGAGACACACGATGCAGCCAGAGGTTGTCATCAAGGAGTGTGTGGTTCTCGCTTGTTCTTCACACTCTCCTGGTGGCCAGGGCATGACCAGTTCCCACCCTCCCAAGTTCAGCAGCCAATAACATCTCTTCCTGGGCAGCCTCTGCTCTGTCTGGGGTTGGATGCCAGGCATATTACTAACAGCTCTTCAGCAACACTACTCAGGACCGCTAGGAGTTGGAAATGACTGCTGTTGTTGTTAATCGCCGACTCGACAGTCGGTTCCGACCCATAGCGACCCTCTACAGGGTTTCCGAGGCTGTAATTATGGGAGCAGAAAACCTCATCTTTCTCCCGCCGAGCAGCTGGTAGTTTCGAACTGCTGACCTTGCGGTTCGCAGCCTGATTCGTAACCACTACGCTACCAGAGCTCCTTGGAAACTGACTAGAGGACACTTTACAACAACAGCAGCAACAACATAAGACTTTCCACTATTTAGGAAGCAGACAGGAAAGGACACGACTCAAACCCTAGGGGGAGCCACTGAGCCGCAGACAGACTAGGAGGTGCTCTCCAAATTCTCACACGGAACCCCGCCCCTTCCTCACCGAGAGTCCCAGACACCGGAAGCGGAAGTGAGCTTCCACTGCCTGTGCGCTTGTTACAGCTCCATTCTTTGCCAAGTCCAGCCCGCGGTATGTGAGGGCTCCATGAGAATTAAGGTCGCTCCACGCGCCCCTCTGCCAAGTCCGGCCTTGTCCGCCTTCCCCGGACTGCTCCAGAGCCGCACGACTTGTCATAGCCGGGCTGTGCAGAGCGTTCCGCCGACGCTTGCCCGCAGCATCCGAGAGCCGGCCCACCAGCCCTCGCCTTCCCCCCTCCGATCCCCCTTCCCGCTTCCCCTCCTGGGTCGGGGCCGAGTTCCAAATGACAGAGTAGGTGGACTGGACATGTGTCTCTCCGGGTATTAGCAGGTAAAATCGTATAAATCCTCGCTAAGCTAAAGTGTGATTCCCAGGCGATGAAAAAATGCAGCCACTGGCCTTATGGAAGCCAAGAGTAGTCTAAATCTAAGTGCCCTGTGCCTACAGTCTCCACTCCATCTCCACCAGTTAGTATGGCAGGCAAGTATTTCTGGTTATACCCAAACCCAGAGCGACCCTGTAGGACCAAGTAGAAGTGCTCCCTAGGGTGTAAATCTTTGTGGTAGTAGACAGACTCTCCCGAGGAGTGACTGGTGATCGGCCAGCCTTTTGATTAACAACCCAATGCTTAACTCATAGTGCCACCAGAGCTTTTTGCTGTGCATGTAAACACTTAGATGGTGAGGGATATATTTGCCCCCGAGTGCGGTCCTGGTTTGGTGCTGTCGGACAAACGCTGGACTGCTAACCGCAAGGTCGGCAGTTCAAACCCACCAGCTGCTCCTTGGAAGCCCTATACAGGGTCTCTGAGTTGGAACCGACTCAGCAACACTGTAATTGTTATAGATCATCAAGACAGATGAAGACTTGAGAAAATATGAGTTGTAACTAGTATGTGCTTATTTACCCCAATTTCAGAAGGAAATTTTAAAGAAAGGAGCTCTGGTAGCATAGTGGTTACGAATCAGGCTGCTAATCTCAAGGTCAGCAGTTTGAAACTACCAGCGGTTCCAAGGAGAAAGATGAGGTTTTCTGTTCCTGTAAAGATTTACAGCCTCGGAAACCCTGTGCAGGGTCGCTATGGGTTGGAACCGACTCTAGGGCACTTGACAACAACAACATCTTAAAGAATGTCTTTGGCTTTAAAGCAGACGTTTTCGTCATGGTATGAGAAACAATATGGCTAAACATAAGTTGGTCTGCTGGAAACTGATGTGGTCAGACAGACTTATTATTGGCACTGAGTGATTTATAGAGAGCACAGCCAACGTTTGTCCAAGATCTGAAAGGTCTGAGCTGAGACAGGATTTGTGCAGGATTGTATTCTGGTGATTGTGGATTGATTCATCCACAATTTTTAAATCAAAGAGCCATGAAGGCTTATGATAGCAAAACTCCACCATATTTCTAGTATCGAAACAAATGTTGTGAATGAGGGCAAAGAGGCATGTGCAGTGTACTGAATAATCTCCTAAGAGTTAAAGCAATGTGGAGGAGTTTTTGTAGTCCAAGGAACAAAGTTGGAAGCCCAAGTGATTTTGATGCGTCTTAAAAGCTCATCAAAATATCTGTTGAATCCTTTCTCAGAATTGTGTTTGGCTAAAAAGGCAGATAACATAGGTCTATGGGGTCAGTGCCTGCCGAAGCCAGCTTGTTTGGAATGTAGGGTTCGTTACACATAAATTTAAACATCTTTAAGGTTTAGGCTACTTCTTATCTGAAATATTTTGCCCTATATAATCAGATTTTGCCATGTTCTCAGGACAGAAATGTCTTTTCCACATTTTATTGTCGCCTCCACATAGATTTTTAGCCTCCACAAATGAAAATGATCAGAATACTGAAACAAATCTTAGAGTAATGCACTGAACTGTAGAGTCAATTTAAACCGCAAGGTTGGTGGTTCAAGCTCACCAGCTGCTCCTCGGAAACCCTATGCAGGATTGCTGTGGGTCGGAATTGACTTGACGGCACATAACAACAACACTGTTACAAAAAAGTAATTAATCTTTTCTAGTAATTGCTTAAAAAGTATTCTTGCTTAAATAAAAGTGGAAGTGCACAACAGTTACCAGAAGTTAGAAAGTCATGGTTGAACATGAAATAACACTTAAAAGGAATCAATAAAATGTGTGGCATATATAGCATAATTGGAGAATGTTTCTTTTAGATAAGATGTAATAATGAGGGTGATATGTGTATATCAAATCTTTAGAATATCAGCAACAAAAGGATATCATTTTATATAAAACAAAAGGTGGGAAAAAGAGTCAAGCAGCAAGTACATAAATCATTTTAAAACTTTTTTTGTCTAAATTCAAGGTGTTTTTTTTTTTTTAACTATAATTATAATTTTTGTTATAGATGTTGTTATTAAGTAATTTTGAGTCTGTTCCAACTCATAGCTGCCCGATATAGGGTTTCCGAGGCTGTAAATCTTTCTGGGAGCAGAAAGCCATATCTTCCTCCCACAGAGCAGCTGGTGGGCTCGAACTGCTCACTTTATTGTTTGCAGTCTAGTGCTTACGCTACAGAGCCACCATACTGCCTTTCTTATAGATATAAGCCTGTTTTTTGTTTTTTTTTTTCAATATTTATAACCAGTTGGTAGATGCATTTACTTTTAAAAATTCAGTGCAGCTCTGTGCTCCAGAAAGCGGAAGAGCCTGTTCTGTCTTAAATGCAGCTGCCCTCAGGGTGAAACGTTGCCTTCTGTCTGGGAGGAAACCCTGCCTGCTTCCTCCTTATTTAACACTGCCTCTTCCTCACCCTCCTTCCATTTCAGGTCCCAGGTGTGCCTCAGGGATAACACATCCAGTCTAGGCAGTTGTCATCCTAGGAAGACCATCCTGTGTTTCCACCAATCACAAGTCAAGATTTCAACAGCTCTCATTGGCTGTGTGGACCAGACTTTCCTCATCTGCTTCCAAACTGCTTCATGACTTCGCTTCCGCACTCATCCCTTTTACTAAAGTCGCTTTTGAGCTTGCAGAGGACATTCACTTAGACTTCCAGAAGCTGGAGCAAGGAAATGGTGAGTACTGGAATCCTGGTGTGGTACTGTAGGATAGATAAGTTCTGGACTGCTAACAACAAGGTCTGCGGTTCAGTCCCAGCACCCACTCCTTGGAAACCCTATATAGGGTTTCTATGAGTCAGCCCCGACTCAGCTGCACATAATAACGACAGAGTACTGGATTATTCTTTTACCATAGGGGGACAAGACTACATAGGAACTGTAGTGGGATCGACTGTGGGTCCCCCAGTGAGGTAAAAGGTGGCAAGGAGGCCAAGGGTCTGAGTCCTTGACGGTATAGTGAAGCCCTGCTCCGCTGTCACTGAGCCCTTAGCTGTACAGCTGTGGTCTTTCAAGCCTGGGTGCCTTGTCTTGCCTGCCTTGGGGCATTAGCAGCACTACCTTCAGCTCTATCTTAGGAGGCTGAGCTTCAGGCCCCCCCCAGAGCTGTCCTTGTCCTGTCCCTCCCTGTAAAATGTGTTGTTGCCACTGGAGCCCTTTCTGAGTAGTTCTAGAACTGCAGGCCCCCCACCTTACCCCCCACACACTGTGTAACAGAGTGAAAAGGGGGGAGAGAGTTCGTAGGGGAAGGCTCGGGGGCAGCTGAAGGAATGAGGATGAAGTCAGTGACTCCAGCGGGATCATGTTTGGGGTCTCGAGACCCAGTACTTTTTTCTAGTAGCAAATACTTTTGTTTCGACATTCTCAGGAGTGTGAGTAGCAGGACATCCTAATCTACATCCTTGTCCTTTCACCTTCTGTCTATGCCTGGTTGTTGTTGTTAAGTGTTGTTGAGTCGGTTTTAAATCCTAGCAACCCTGTATAGGGTTTCTGAGGAGTGGCTGATAACCCTTAATTTTTGTTTTGGTTTTTCTTTAATGGTAAAATGGGTATTTTATTTATTTGTGGCGCTGTGGGTTAATGTGCTGGACTGCAGTGTTGGTTTGAATTGTAAAGTCGGCGGTTCAAGTTCACTAGCCACTCCTCGGAAACCCTATACAGGGTCGCTGTGAGTCAGAAGTGACTCAGTGGCACTTTACAACAACAGTATTTATAAGTCATCCAATTCATTTCTTGACTGCTGCTTCAGTGAGTGTTAGGTAGTGGATCCAAACAAAATGAACTCTTCAACAACTTTAATCTTCTCATCTATCATAATGTTGTTTGTTGATTGGGTAGTGAAGGTTTTTGTTTTCTTTACATGGAGGTGCATCCTATACTGAAGGCTGTGCTCTTTGATCTTCATTAGTAGTTCAAGTCCTCTTTGGTTTCAGGAATCAAGGTTGTAACATCTGCATATCACAGATGAGTCTTTCTCCAATTCTAATGTCACCTTCTTCATATAGTCCAGTTTCTCAGATTATTTGACCAGCATACAGATTGAAAAAGTATGGTGAAAGAGTATAACCCTAGCATACACTTTTCCTGATTTTAAACCTTTCAATATGCCCTTGTTTTGTTCAAATGACTACCTCTTGGTCTATATACAGGTTCCTCATGAACACAATGAAGTATTCCAGAGTACTCATTCTCTGCAATGTTGTATGTAGCTTGTCGTGATCTACACAGTTGAAAGCCTTTGTGTAGTCAATAAAGCACAGGTAAACGTCTTTCTGGTAGTCTCTGCTTTCAGAGACTACCAGATATCCACCATTTCTTTCAGAGACTACACCATTGCTTTCAGAGACTACAGTGATATCCACCATTTCATGTCCTTGTCTGAATACAACTTGAACCTCTGTCAGTTCCCTCTCAATGTTCTGCTGCAATCAATTTTCAATTATCTTTAGCAAAATTTTACTTGCATGTAATATGAATGATATTACTGTCTGATGATTTCCATATTCCATTGGGCCACCTCTCTTTGGAATGGGCACAAATAATGGAACTCTTCCAATCACTTGACCAGGTAGCCATCTTTCAGATTTCTTGGCATAAATGAGTGAGTGTCTCCGGTGCTATATCGGTTTGTTGAAAGATTTCAATTTGTATTCCATCAATTCCTGGAGAATGTCATTTATTTGGAATCAATACAGTATGTTGCCTTTTAAAATTGCTTTTTTATTCTACTTAGCAATATTTATTTAAGGTTCACTCATGTCTTTTAGTGGTCAATAATGTGGCGCTGTAGGATAAGCACTGGACTGCAAACTGCAAGGTCATCAGTTCAAACTCAATAGCCACTCCTTGGAAACCCTGTATGTGGTTACTACAAGTAACAACAATAGTTCAATGTGTGGATGTGCCTTCAATGTTAGAATTCTTATCTTCTATGTAGAATACAATGATTCAATACCGATTAATGTACCTCAAGCACAGCCACCATTGGAGGCTTGTGGATTACTATCATTTTGAAGGTTTCAACAGAGCTACCACACTAAGGCTAGGAAGAAAGTAGTGACAATCTGCTTTTGAAAACTCATCCAGTGGAAAAACCCTAATGACACAAAGAGTCCACTCCTGTGCATGGGGTACCCATGAGTCAGTGGTTGACTTAACAGTAGCTAACAACAACAACATTGAAGTACCCCAGTTTACTTCCCCATTCACCTTCTGAAGGGCATCTTGGTTGTCTTCAATTTCTGGCAGTTATGAAAAAGTGCTAGGTTTTTGTATGGAAATATATTTTCAACTCATTGGATGAGTACCTAGTATCAACAATTGGTAGATCCTATGGTAAGAGACTGAGTTTTGTGAGCATTGCCAAACTGTTTTTCAAACTGGCAGTATTATCAGCAACAGTGACTGAGAGTTATTGTTCTACATCCTCAACAGTATTTGGTGGTTTCAGTGGTTTAGATTTCAGCCATTCTAAAATATGAATCTTGGCTGAAAGCAGAGAATACCAGAAAGATGCTTAGCTGTGTTTTATTGACTATGCAAAGGCTTTTGAGTATGTGGATCATGACAAGCTATGGACAACATTATGAAGTATGAGTATTCCTGAACACTTAATTGTGCTCATAAGGAATCTGTACATGGACCAATAGGCAGTTGTTCGCACAGAACATGGGAACACTGAGTTGTTTAAAATTAAAAAATGTGTGACAGGGCTGTATTCTTTCACCATACTTATTCAACCTGTATGCTGAGCAAATAATCCAAGAAGTTGAGTTATATGAAGAAAAACATGGCATCAGGATTGGAGGAAGACTCATTAACAACCTGTGATATGCATATGATACAGCCTTGCTTGCTGACAGAGAAGAGGACTTAAAATATTTACTGATGAAGATCAAAGAGCACAGCCTTCGGTATGAATTGCATCTCAATGTCAAGAAAACAAAAATCCTCACCACTAGCCTAATAAACAACATTATTATCAACGGAGAAAAGATTGAAGTTGTCAAGAACTTCATT